TGTACATATACATATATATATATATCATATATAACAGTTTCAGTCGTCATATAATTCAATGCGTCTAATAATAAAAATGTAAAATTAAAGAAAAAAGAAGTGTTAAAAATGAAAAATACTGAGCGAATAGCAACAAAGAAAACGAAAAATAAGGACGGCTGTCAGAAAATTAAAAAATTCCTGCTTTTATACTATCTACATTTCATATTAGTATAATGAAGCTGAAGAATATACGTGAGTTCCATATTTCAGCCCCAAAGGAGCTGCGCTAACAAGCTTTTTTTTCTCTATTTACATATGCTTCATTGTAAAACTTTTATACATTCTTTTTCGTTTTGTTTGTCGTCGTACACTTATTAAATAAATCTGTAATCATGAACAAAGAAATTTGATGTTGTTCATTAGCCTAGTAACAATTGTGGAGTTATTGAATCAGTTGAGATGTATTCTATCCATAGTATGATTTGTTTTTTTTTGTTCGCTTGAAAAAAATTATCACAGATACAAAATAAACATGATTACTTCATTTACTTCGATTGCTAATTTACTTATAGCTTCGTATATTGTGCTGTTTTGCTCATCAAGAATCTCCGATGAAGGTCTTGTTAAAAACAAAAATAGCTTTTAGCAATTATGAATGTACGATTTGCTTTGCAGAGGACTGTTATCGACAAGAATCTTCATTGTCTCATATATCTTCGATATTTGTTGCGTCAAGTTACCATTGATTTTACACTATATCCATTGATACTATTTCAGTGCTATTACCATCAACGCGATAGACACTCAATATATCCGTATTATTCTACAAGCATCAGAAGAATTCGTTAATATTTTTGGAATGTGATAGAAGACAATCCGTAAACAACAATAATGATTCATGTAACGAAAATGTTTTACATGTGTTGCAAAATATGATATATTCCGTTCAATGACGATGCAGCATAAACACGTTCAAAGAATTTTCCAGTAAAACAATCGCAAATCAAAGTGAGCAAAGTACAAAGTGATAGAGAATCTCAAGCTGCATCAGTATATATAATTACTTTTTCAGAAAAGTTAATCCTATTTTATGATAAGTTAGAAAAAAGACTAAAACGTGGCAAAAACATGCAGTTTTAGAAAATATGAGGATGAGGGTGGCTTCATGGTACTCAAAATAATTTTTAGCAAATAAATGCAAGTCAAGATGTTTATATATAGGGTGATAGAGAATTCCAAGCGTTATCAGAATATTGGATTATTTTTCTAAACGTATATCTTTGTAAGGAAAATGTCAAGAAAAAACTGTATGCAATTATTTTTTTTCATGGGTAACTATATTAAAAAGAGTCCTTATAAAGATTAAAATAATTTTTTTGCTAAATAGTTATAAAAAACTAAATAAATATCGAATTTTTAAAACTAAATTAATTGGAATCAACAATTTAGTCAACTTTATTCTTAATCCAGTAAAATCAGTTTTTTTTATATAAGTCTAAATTATCAATTATTAATAATATAATTTATAATGATGAGTTTATAGTTGATCGATTATAATCGATTTTTTCATAGAGAATCTTTTTTTAAATAGATCTGCTCGAGTAATGATTAAATCATTGATTAATTATTCATTCTATTTCAATCATCTGATTGAACGTAACCTGGTCAATATAATTTCAAAAAATTCCTACTGGAATTTCAAATTTCTAAATTTGCTAACTTTAGATGTGTCGTGACTGACATATCATAGGATACTGAAGAAAAAAAAAAATAGAAAGTTGGGTTTTATTTTCAACTATTGAAAAATGTAATTTTATGTTCAGACCACATGATTAAAATGGATCAACACATTTTTATGGATTGAAACAGATTATTATCTAAATAAAATTCAACAGATAATATATTGAAGTCGTTCAAATTAATTTGCAACTTAAAAAGAGATGAAGAATGATACAATCTAATTAGATTGAGCAATCTTCACATCAATATTTGATGATAACGATGTTTTTATTGTGCTTTAGATTTTTAAACAAACAAATGCAATTCAAAATATTTATACATAAATTTGTAGAGAATTTGATGATTCATTAGAATCTATATAATCAATTTTTAAAAAGTGACAATTCTTAGTAACAATATGTTAAACATAATAAATATAACTATTTTTTTTCAAATGAAAATTTTTGGTCTAAAATAATCATATCTTGTTGAAAATATCATTTCAATATTTTATTATCTATCATCTATATACATAATGTTCAGTATGTTTGTGTGCAGGTCAAAGGTTAAAGCTTCTAGAATTTTCTAGACCTTTCCAGAACGATATACAATTAATCCTAAAAGTGAGAAAGTTATTGTTATTTTTTTTGTTATTAATAACAATAATATTAACTGTTTTCTTCGAAAAAATCAATCAAATAAGTCTAAGTATAGTTTTTACGAACGTCAAAGGATTACTTTATTCATATAGTATCTTTTCTCACCATTTGATATAAGAACTTGTCGCAAATATTTTGAGAAACGGTAACATAACATATTTTTTTATCGTTATTGCTATATAACAATAACAAACTATATCATGTAGGTGTGGATGGGTGTGGGTGTGTGTGAGAGTGTGGGTGTAGGTTTGATTCCACTCTGTTACACCGATACCGACGCTCACACCCACCCACACATCCACACCTATACCCACCCATACCCACACACACTCACACCCCACACCCACACACACCTACGGGGGATTCTATGCTATAAGTTTGAAGTCTTTACATCGAGCTTACACTGATTTCTGAGTAACATACTGAGAATGGACGGTTTTTGATAATACCCATGTTTATAGGGAGATAGGCCTAGTTCTGCAATGGCTCAATGAAATTCAATGAATTTTTTATCAGAGATAGCCAATATACAGGGCTACAAAACGACGAAAGCCCCAGCTCACAAGGTTTGTCATTCCCAAGTTATAGAGTCCACAGTGGAGATAGGCCGCCTGCTCTATAACTATCTTATAACTCGTACTTTAGGGACATGGGGTTCGCTACTGACCTACATTCACCGCGAACAACATACACCTCAATTTTCAGCTCAGTAGATTGTATAGTGGCTGAGATCCAAGGGGGAGGGGGGGGCTACTTTTGTCAGGTAGTGTAAGTACATGCACCATGCACCAAATGATACTACAAGGTGCTGTGGTGTTCATAGAATTTTGAAAAACAATAATATGGCGGTATGGCTTTCTATTTTAGAAAAATGGATTGTCTTTTTCATGTATACTGATCGAAAGAACATTTTAGATATCGTTTGAAATCAGGATAATGTAATACACATATAGTAAAAAAGCATACAGTGAGTATATGGCTATGATTATCGTCATCAAAAGTAACTGTACTTGATTTTGTTCTGAATAAAATACAAATTAATTCATTATATCTTTTATTGACATAATAAAGTTTACTGTAATCCATCAAGCTAATATGGATGTGGAGTTGAAGTTTTACGTTCACATGCAATGAAGATTGTAAAGATGACAAAAATTATAATTCGTTGAAGATATTCAAAAAGTGCTGAGTATAAGAACAACTTTCATCTTCCCGTAAGATCTGATAGAAAGTCTTGTTTGCATAAGATCCTATAGCATCTGATGATCTGACCTCTGTTTTTTTCACGTAGTTCGTCTATTGAATTCTGCAGACAACCCAAAATTATTAATTAAATGAATAACTTTTACTTTTTATTCTTAGATTATTGATGATGATAAATTGAACAGTAGGAATTAGGTTTCTCAGGTAAACTTTTCTTTTGTTTTTAGATTATTTATAATATTATATGAAACAGTAAGTAATTATTTATTAACATAATTTTTTTGAATAATTTTTTAGATTATTTTATAATGATAAATCAAACAGTATATATGAATTTGTTTAAATATTTTTTTTCTTTTTAGATTATCTATAATAATATATCGGACAGTAAATAATTATTCACTTGCATAATTTTTTTTTCAGATTATTTATAACAACCAATCCAAAAATAAGTACTAGTATAAATTAGTGGTGGTGCCACATCTGACTGGAGGTTCCAAGTCTTTGTTTTACTCGTACAACTTCGATGATATATGAGTAAAAACAAAGAATTGGAATCCCCAGCCAGACGAGGCACCTAAATAATAGTTTTTGCATTATTTAGAGAGCGAAGGGGAGGGGGGGGCAGATATGAAAACTTTATGTGAAACACGATATCAATCAAAATTGAATACGATCGTGTACGCTCGTAATTCTGGCGGCAAGTAACGGTAAAATACGGTCACAGAAATATACGAACGTAATACGGCCTCATGTATTACGGAGAAATACGGGACGTGTACGGGCGTATACGGACTTCGTATTTGTCGACCTGGGTAGAAATAATTTCAATAATAACTTTTTTTATTTTAATTTTATTTTAAAGAAAATCAAGCAATAAAAGCAATGAATGAAGATAATGTCTACCCACGTGACAAAAACCAAATCAGTTTTTAGCAGTAAATCACGATTTACCAGCAAAAACCGCTGGTTTTTTTCTCAGTTTTCATCACATGGGTATACTCTATTAATCACTCCAAGTACTGCTATTGTGCAAACTTCAAAAGATCTCTTGAATGAAGTATATTCATCCTCAATAACGCCAAAGCATGTTGAACAAATTCTTCGAATTAATCGTCTTGGTGGTATTTTACTTAGTTTTGACGAAGAAATCCATGTCACAAAAATCGGATCAGTTTTATCGGTAAACCGCGGTTTACCGGCGAAAACCGTCGGTTCGCCATTAAACAAAACCGGTTAACTGGTAAGGAGCCGATAAATCGAGAAAAACCGCCAGTTTACCGCGGTAAACCAGAAAAAAAGTAGCGATTCACCGCAGTTAACCGAAAAACACACCGCGGTTCTCTCCGATTAATCGTGGCTTTTCTATGTCAAGAAGCCGGTAACCGGACCGGTACAACCGCGGTTAACAGCCGGTTTTTATCCGATTTTCATCACATGGGAACAGCATTAAATTGTGGTGTTAAATTACAAAAATCAGGTATTCCTCAAAAGTATTCATATAATGTATTAGGGTGAGTAAAATTTTTTCATATGTGAAATTATATTTTTTTTGTTTTCGACAATATGAATAGAACACCGATTCAATCAATTGAAGTTACTACAGATCGATGTTTATTTACACAAAAAATGGCTGATATTGAAGAAAAAGTTGTAAATCTTTTAAAGAGGTTTGATCAAAAAGATTGTAAATATGATCCCTAATGATCTATTTTAGGCATTGAAATCAGCTGAACGTTTTGGTTATCCAGTTCTTGTTCGATATGTAGATATTCTTAATACTTCTCGTGAATAGCTGTTCTATTTAGTGCTACTGTTCCTGAGGGCGATCGTATATCAGTTTTTGTCGAGAATCGTGATGGATTAATTTCTTTAGTTACTTCAATCTTAGCTAATTTATCACAATTATTAATTGATAAATCACTTAAAGATTAAAAAAAAAAGTTGAATATGAAGTTGTTCGAGATCAATATGATAATTGTATTGTGGTATGGAATATGAAAAATATTGATCCATTATCATTTCGTACTGGTCAATCAATGGTTGTTGCACCAAGTCAAACATTATCAAGTGATGAATATATAATTTATTACGAAGTGTACCAATTAAAGTTGTTCGCCATTTGGGTATTATTGGTGCATGTAATGCACAATTTGCATTAAATCCATTATCTATGGGATATTATATAATTAAAGTAAATGCAGGATTATCTCGTTCATCTGCATTTGCATCAAAAGCAACTGGTCATCCGTTAGCATATATAACAGCTAAAATTACACTTGGACAGAATTTAGCTGAATTAACAAATAATATTACAAACGTAGCATGTGCTTGTTTTGAACCAAGCCTTGATTATGTTGCAATTAAAGTTTCAAGATGTGATTTAAGCAAATCCAATCGATGTTCAAACGAAATCGAAAGTTCTAGTAAGTGATGATGATTTTAACTACTAAAGATAATTATTTTACTTTCATTAGGGAAAAGACTTGATGAAGTTATGTTTATTGGTAAATCATTTGAAGAAGCTTTTCAACATGCTTAAAGAATGGTTGATGAAAAGGTGACCGATTACTTCGTCGCACGACACTTCGTCGCGATTACTTCGTCGCAGAACAATTTTTTTCGTTCTGTTCGCTGCGTCGCTCTCAATTAATTGTTTTTCAAGACATGAAATCGATCAATTTAATTCATCTTTATTTTGTGCATGATACATAAGATAATGATGCACAAATTGAGTACAAAAAAAGAAAAAAACCAAACTAGAAAATCAAAAAAAAAGAAGAGAGAAATCAAAAAAAAGAAAAATAAAAAAGAAAAATTAAAGAGTAATCTTAGCCGAAATATTTTTTAAGTTATTCTTCGTTCACTGGAGCTCCATCAGAATGACATTATATTAAAATTTTTTATTGATCCGTTTTCCCAACTAAAGCCATATGCATTAGAACAATCAATTGTCTATTGTTATTGTACACATCCTATAGAATTTTTAATTTAATTTATTTTATTTTATTTGTTTATATTTAAAAAAAGAATCAATTGAGAGGAACACAACGAACAGTACGAAAGAAATTGTTGTGCGACGAACAGAACGAAAGAAATTATTCTGCGACGAAGTGATTGCGACGAAGTGATCGCGACGAAGTGATCGCGACGAAGTGTCGTGCGACGAAATGTACTAGCACCATTTGCATGAGATGCCCAAGATTTTGTTGAGATCAATATGTTTGAGACAAAGTTAGATAATGTTTTCAAAAAACATAAAGTAAAAGTTCTTCGATTAGATTTTCATTTCGATTATCTTCATTATAATAAGCAATCATGTTTATTTGTATGATTGCTAGTGTAGAGGAATATGTGTGATGTGATGACGCTTGTTTCTGAATAAATACTATGACGCTATTGATGACACATGACAAAAAATACTCAAAATACTAAAAGCAAATACATTTTTACTTTCTCTGTCAAATATTCTTATCTTATGATATCATTTAGTTGAAATAAAAGTTATCAAATATCCTATTTTATAATGATCATGGTTGTAGATAATCACCAAAAATACCACGACACTCAGTTTGAAACTTCAATTTCGGTTATTTGAACAAATGACTTTATACAACTTAAGCTTAGAAAAAACATTGGGACTAGTGGGCTACGGCTCCACTCTTTGGGGTATGGGTGTGATATTAATTCGCCATGGAGGACCATATATGTTTGGTGTCAATCTAAGTCGAAGTCTTATGATGGCTGCTACAGTGCCAGCTATGTACATTCTAGTTCGCATTAATGAAGCAATGTTTTCTCTTAATTCGCAAGAAAGACTAGCCGCACTGGCACTGGTTAACGGTAGTGCAGTTATTCTTGATGATGTCGCTCACACATGGTTCCCAAGTGCGCATGAAAATCCATCGTTGTAGAAAAAAAATCCGCGAGTAGCATGTTCTATTTCAAGATATGAATCTGGCTGGTTACTCTATTTTGTCGGCTTCTGTCTGACAATGCTTGTATTCCAATAATATTTTCATTCGTTAAAGAACATCTGTCTCTTTAATTTCTTACTGAATGTGACTTTTCTTGATTACATATTAATCATAATCGTAGATGACAGAATCCTGAAATCTGTTTTTTTTTTCATTTAGAACATTGCATAGAGAATCGATTGATGTTATAAAACGCAAATAAAACTATACTTCTAATATCGTAAATGTGTTCAATAGTTAAAATTTTTTCATATTTTACTCTCGATCTATGCTTTTAGTGTTCGTTGTAATTTGCTGAATGACATAAAAATAAATAATAAATTAATCATATTTTGAATTTTTCACTTCATTCAAAGTTCCCAATTGAGATAAATAAGCATTTACACACTCCTTTCTTGACTGTTCTAAAAAGAAGATCACTATAGGTTTCTTATTTGTTTTTGAATAATATATTGGTTCAAGATTTTCGGTAGTCATTAGCTTATTTTTCCTGTTGGAAATATTTAATGAATGTTATCTACGCAACGAATAATATAATGAATAATTTATAGGAAAGCAACCGAGTCTTAATAATTGTTCAATGGATCATGTCTATCAAAACAATAATCAACTTCTTTTATTCCCATGATGAACACGATCTTTACATCTGCAAACAAGATAATGATTGAGGAAATGTATTCATAGTGATAGACAGAATTCTAACGACTTTATTTACCTTTGGTTTTCGTTTGACCAAGTTGAGATGGTGAATTCAACTTTCAACCATTCAATTTCACTCTCAACTCATTTCTTGTTAACTTTTCTGAAAGTAGAGAAATTCATGATCTACTCCTTAAAAACTTTCCGTTGACAATAGTTTGTTCATTGTCACATATATCTAAATCAAATTTTTTTCTTCTTCTCTTTAAATTCATTCCAATTACTTTGAAATCATCTGATATCCTATTGTGAAAAGTAACGGGTGTACTAGAATAAATGTACCTCTCAATTTTTTTGGAATATATCGCTGAAATTACGACACAGATATTTAAGTTTTTTTTTTCGAAATATAGCTCGTGCGATTCTCTTCAAAAGCTTATCAAAAGAACTGTTCCAACAAATAACTACTGAATTATATCTGATCAACTCGATTGTGCTCAAAAATGACACATTTTTAAGAAATGATGAATTCCATTTTTCTAGAAAATCATACGTAAGTAACTCAATTCTAATGCAGGTTTTCTGTGTTTTTGGATGCGCTCTTTGTAACTGTATGGAAAAGATGATGTTCATGCGCTATTTCGATGCTCCAACAGTCGATATTCTACGAAACATGAGTTGGAATCATTGATTGTTCTTGTTGTACATTTCAGAAGAACACTTTCCAACATTCTGCTTGTAGCGATATAATGGATACAACGTTTTCCTTCAACATAAAGGTTAACATGATCGTCAAATAATTTTTCATTTATGAGAAAAAAAAGACCGAAATTGCGATGAACTTATATCGAAGCTGCTCAGAAAGCGGATGAAAGGAAATAAAGATAAGGCTCTTTTGGAGTAGATGCATAACATGCCAGAACAGATATTCGTTAACACAGTAGAAGTTCTTATGGACTAAAAAATGGTCTATTCATTCTTTTTATATGGGACTGAAAAGAGCGGTGCAAAATCATTAATATGGAAATGATACTAAATTGAAAGTGTACCGCTTTGAAACAATGTTGTTAAATTGGTATTCACAGGTAAGCTGGTTAGTTCTAGTAAACATATTCAACTCTAACCAGTGTTTTTTGTGATAAATCCGATGTCTCAATCTTTTTCTTCAATTTAATATACACAAATACAGAAAAGCAAATATTTTTAATTTTTCTATATTGTCTCGTGTATCCTCATTTAACATAATACGTTTTGTTTGTATTGCTGTGCTCTCTGAACCAACAGAGAATGTTGAAAGACAACAGAATAATGTATAAAACTATTTTTTCTTCTGGCATCAAAAGTTTCATTCACTCTGATGGAGCTATTAAATGAAAAGTATTATAATGACTTTTGTTTATGGACATTATTCAAACATTTAACTTGACTCGTGTTGGATATTGTTAACTAGAATAGATTTCTTATATTTTTCAATAAATGGTTCAAGTTTTGGTTTAATTAGATCATTACCATTTCGAACTGAGTTTCTTCTTCTAGACGAAAACAAATTTCTTTCGTAATCAGTTTCTCAAGTTATTCTATCGCTGTTATCCATAATTTATTGATTAATTCAAATGTTTTGCTCTTTTTCTGTTATCTAATTTGATCAAAAATATCGAACAATAAATGATAGAATATTTCTAATTTTTGTATTTGATCGAGAAGTTTATTTTGTGATCGACAGATATTTCATCGATATTTGAGGGTGGATGAAGTAAAGGCATCCACACCCACACCCTATTAGAATGTTCATTGGTGGAGATATTCAATTATCAACTAAACTCGATTTTTGTGTCATGTCTGTAGCAAACGACTATTTGTTGGAAATTCAGTATGTTGACGAAGGAGTAGTTTTTTTCGACTGAAACTTTCTTTTGAGCTCAAATGGGAAGTTACCAGTCAAATAGTCCCTTCGTGAGCGAAATAGAAGGCATATATTAAGAAAATCTTCGAAAAATAGCAGTAACATTCGATCTAATGAGCGCTCACTGTTGCTATTGAAATACGCTTTCATCATCTAGAAAAAAGTTCTCGCTTCAAAATCGTCATTTAGTGTGACCAATTGAGAATGAGCAAAACTTTATAATAATATTTGAATTAAAATCGTATTATTCTTCGATCTTAAGATTGATTTCACTGGCTAAAGTCGAAAGTAAAAGTGTCGAAAAGAGATGTTGTACTGTTCGAACTTACGAACGTTAAACATCAGAATAAAATTATTTCAACAATTTGACGAAAGATAATAGTAGTAATCTAAAGCTATATTTATGCTAAATGAACAAGTAATAACTGATTTCAATCAATCACCTGGTTATCCAATGCACTAGCTATTAAAATATTTTGAAAAACTTTGGATAAGTGATCTTGCTTTATAGAACGTGTCTAGATGCTATACACAAACAAAGTTTTAAACTTGTTGTCTTTGTTTTAAAAGATTCAATTCGGGTACAATGTATTAGTACTCTGTATGATCAATATAATAATACTGTTATCAATGAATCGGTGTAATACTAATTGATTTATTCATTTATCTATGTTACTTCATTATTCTCTGCTTTTTTCCTTTACTATACTCATACATCGTCTTTCGATCAAGTTCAGATACACCCTGAAGATTGTTATGACACAAAAATAAAAGAATTTTTTTTTTCATTTGTATGCTGATTATTTTTTCTAATCTCATCATTGTTTTATATGTTGTCCAACCACAAGAGTTTATTCAAACTATGAATTATTGTGTCATCACTAACGATAATATTAGTGTATTTAATCTAAACCATATTACATAATTGATCATAAATAATGATGAAATAGAGAAACATCTATTGATCAAATATGAATTAAATTCTTCGAAAAAAAAAAGACACACAATACTATTGATTCCACC